GCCATCAATTGGTAGAATTATGAGCAATGGCATCCACTTGAGATGATTCCTCCCTTATTGATTTTTGTTTACAAGGATTGGTGTTCTTTGGAGTGGTTGAGGTCGGAGCCCTATGAGAATTGTGTTGAAGTGAATTTTCACTCAAATTCTCAAGTAAGGTCCAAGCCTCATCCGCATTCTTGGACATGAACATCCCACCACAAGAAGAGTCAACCATGAATCTATGGGTGTCGGTCAAGCCGGCATAGAAAGCTTGCACTAATTGCCATATTGGGATCAAATGATGAGGACACTTCCGAAGAAGATCTTATAACCTTTCCCAAGTCTCGTGGAGTTGTTCTCCATCAACTTGAGAAAAGCTTAGAATGGAACGCCTCATTTGGTTGGTTTTACTCACCGGATGATACTTCTTAAGAAATTCTTGTTGCAATTGAACCCAAGAAGTAATAGAGTTGGGAGGGAGGGAGTTCAACCAATATTTTGCCCTATCCTTTAGGGAGAATGGGAAAAGATGTAAGTGGAGTGCATTTTCAGGAAATCCTATCAACCGGATGGTCGAACAGATTTCAAAGAACTCATCGAGATGCTTATATGGATCTTCATTATCAAAACCATGAAAAGATGGAAGCATTTGGATGGTACTAGATTTGATCTCATATTGAGCTGCATCGATGTTTGGCATCACTATGCAAGATGGAGAAGCATAGGTGGTAGGGATGAAATGATCTCTAAGAGTCATTAGCTCGATATTAGGAATTTCAGCCCTTTCATTCCCCGGATTTCCTATATTATCCCCCATTGTATTAAATTCAGTTTCAAGATCCCGTGTAAGAGTAGGTTCCCTAGGGTTCCATCTAAGAGTTCTTTCAAGAGAGTTAATATCAATGGGAGAATTGATTGTGGGTAAGGAAAGTGACCTGCGACCGAACATCAACAACAAAGCATATACTCAACAAATCAATTCATCAACCACAACTCCACATACGATGTTCCCTTTCTCCTCAATTATCAAGACAGAAAATAAATGGCCACGACAAGGACCGATGCTTGAACACGAAATTAAAACAATAATATAGCCTCAACAAGGGCTTGCAAATAAATTAACTACTTCTAAGCTTAACACCTGCACAAAATATAACAATACGAAACTAAAAGGTCAAGAAGCTTACCTAGAGTCCTCTAGACTTACACTTTGCTAGCGTTCCCACGGCGAGAGTAGAGTCCCTAGAATCTTACAACATAAAAATGGTTAAACCACATGAGAAATATGCACAAAACACAATATTAACAATCACACTAAGTTTAACCCTAAAACTTTGGTTGCTAAACCGTATGCAAATCCCCGGCAACGGCGCAAAAAATTGATCGATTGGTCAATTAACATCAACCTTCGCAATACCACAAATCATTGTAAAATAGGGCTATTGGTCGGGTAAGTCGAACCACTGGGACTGCGCTAGTCTAATACAACCTAAATGTCTAGAATCATTCTAGAATGACGAGGGAGGTTTATAAAAGGTTTGTGTGTTTGTCACTAAACTAAGAAATTGAAATGCATAAAACAATAAATTGCAATTAAATTAAAGGAAGTAAGATACAAGTAGGAAATACTAGGAAGATGAATCCACACTACACCCTAAGTACATGCTAGACTAAGGCTAAATTGGGGAGGTACAATGTATAAAATGGTCATGGAATATATAGCAACACTGTGTTACCATACACTCTTGGAAAAGTTCATTAAATCATTAAACAAGAATAATCCCTCAAAAATTCATACATTTGAGCTACCTAAACTAAAGTGTATCCCTCAACATATTCACTCAAGCAAGAACTATCAAGTTTATAACCAAATGATAAAGCACATGAGGTAGGAAACTAGCATAACCCATCAAAGGAAATTCCTAAGCAATGGACTATCCATTTTTCTAACAACATGCCTTGAAAACAAATCATAGTTTGATTCCCATTGTCACTATGAGAATGCAAGCAATAAGATTAATACAAAGATCATTAAGACGAGCAAAAAAAACTCACATTAATCATTTAAAAGTGTTAGAGTTCATTACATGAGATGATATGCTCTAACTCTGAAAATGCCAAAAGTATACATCATAATCCCCAACATAGCCTAATCTAAAACATGAACAACAAGGGGAGGCTTCATCACCTCCCTAGGTGTGGTTTAGTTACCCATGACTACAAGGAATGAAGAAGAAGAAGAAGCCTCCATCTCTATTTTCGAGCTCCTACTGTAGCACTCAAGAACACCACCCTCTTTGCTCTCTTCTCTCTCCTCTAATCTTGTAAAAAATATGTTTTATCCATATGTGTGGCCTTTGGTTGCCTTATCTCCTCCAACAAAGCCCTCTCTCTCCTCCAAAAACATTCCCAACCACTTCATAAAAGAGGGAGATTCAAATTGAGGAAACCAATGAAGCAAGTGGCTGAAAATGAGGAGTCCCGAGCTACATTCTGCCTGAATTTTGAGTGCTCGAAATAGGGCCTTGAGCACTCGAAAATGGAGCAGATTGCTCCATGCTTGCTTTGCTTCGCTCGGAACTACTTTGGTAAAATGGCTATAACTTTGTGGTCCGAACTCTAAATGACAAACCGTTTAAAGATTTGGAAATCTGATTTAGAGCTATAAAAACTATAGGTTTTGGTGGAGATCCAATTCTCAAGTCTGGTTGGTCAAAATTGAAGATCAAGGCAGAAACTCATTGCTGCCAGGCAGTTCTAAGCACCTCTAATAAGAAGGTCATAACTCTCTGCTCCGAACTCTGAATGATGAACCTCTTGAAGATTTGGAAAGAGGATTCAGAGCTCTAAATCTTTCATGTTATGATGGAAGTCCAGTTCCTGAGTTTGCTAGGTCAAAAATGGTGACAAAAGTCAGGTTCCACTACTGCCAAGCTTCAGCATTAAGCACTTTGCATTCAAAATTTCAACAAAAACATCATTCTTGCTTCTTTTAAGCCAATGAACCTGAAATAAATAAAAATGCACAAATGAAGATAATCTGCATAATAAAATCAAATAATAGACTTAACTAATGCAATTTAGGGTGCTTGAATATGCAATATTCGGCGCTTATCATTAATCCTATTAATTAAAATCTCTAGATTTTCATATTTATCCAAATGCTCTCAAATTAAAGTATGTTAAATAACATACCTAGACTTAATTTAAAAACACATCACAAGTTAATTTCATACAAGGTACATCCATGAGAATTAAACTTTCACAAAAGATAATTATTAAATAAAAAGTACAATTCTTATTCAAATAATTCCAATTTAATTTATGTTAACAAACATATCAAAGCATAATTTATCATCATGCCAAAATTCAATTCTAAGCTATATACATCCTTGTAGATTAAATCTTATACAAAGAAATAAATATTACTAATATTCTAGATTTGATACAAAGCATGCAAACAAGTTGTATAATCATGGAAAACACTCAATACAACACATACAAAATCTTAAAACACCCCCTACCTCCATTTGAGATGAAATCTCAAATCCCCACCGAAATGAAATGACTCCGAATCCGATGAAACTTCTAAGTTTTGTCGGGGACAACACGGTGAACATGAATCCCAAGGAAGCCCCATCAAAATCACAACTTGACTTTAAACCCAAACTCAAGAAATGGCCAAAACCGGATTCTAATAAGGGGGAAAGATGCGCGTAATCAAGACAAACATAAAACATGAAGGCACTACGACTTTTTACTAAAGGGAAGAAGCTCAAAAGATGAGAGAAAAGGTGGCAGTCCCATGGTCTTCCATGGCTACCGGCCAAGAGGGAGGAAGAAGATAGAAAAAGTGATTTTTCACTTTAAGACATTCTATTTATAGCAAAACCCTAAAAGTGCCCCGAAAGGGCCCCACTGGGTCTGAAAAAGTGGAATATGAGCAGATGTGGTCAAACGGCAAAACTCTATGAACAAAAAAGAACCTAAATGAAAAATATGAACAGCAGAAGAAACAGCGTCGAAAATCGAGTTCCGAGCAGAGAGATATGCCCCAAACAAGTTTGGCGGCAATTGGGGCCAAAAACCCTGAAACTGGAGAAAAACAACTAGAAGGAAATTCTAAGAGTACACGACTCGACAAAAAGTGAAAATAAATCCCATACGAGGATCCAGGCTCAAAACAAGGCATTTAGCAATAACTTTTATTAATTGCACAATGGCCTTTCAAAAAAGTGAAAACTGCACAACTGGCCCATAATGAAAATATCTCCCAAAAATATTTTCTTAGAAACCCCACAAATAAAATATCTTCAAAACATATTTACGAAAAATGCCCCAAGAAAAGGAAATGTTTCTGAAGAACTGTACATCCATGCCCTTGTGGACACCAGAAGCCACCAGAGTATTTTACGGCAAAATTAAAGATACGCATTTCATGGAAACCACTTAGAATGAAGATATGCAAAATCAAAAACCAACTCTAAACACAAAAAGTGAGGTTATGCCAACAAAGTGACAAACGGGGAAAAGATAAAATAGGGAAAAGAACGAAAAATGAATAGTGTCTAAAAAATAAAAATGTGGAAATGACACGGTCCTCAAAGGACGTTGTCAATCCAAGGAAAAGAGTCTTAGAAACCATTCCCGAGCACTCGACACTACAAGAAATTTGGGTTTTAGTGACAGTCCTTTAGGGACAGTCTTAAAAACTGTCCCTAAAACATTCTTTTTAGGCACAATCTAAAGAAACTGTCCCTAAAGCCTTCTTTTTTGGCACAGTCAATTAAACTGTCCTTAAAGCCTTCTTTTTTGGCACGGTCTTTACACCTTGTCCCTAAAACTTAAACAAGTCTGTCCCCAATTCCACAAAAAATTGTGCGGCAAAACTTGGCGCTTCATTCCTTGTTTGGCGCGATTAAAATTATAATATATTTAATTATTTTATTTTACAAAATACATTAAACTACGCCGTTTAATATATCATTACATTCCATATACCTAAAGTCTATCTTCAGACCACTTCATTTCTCAACCCGCCTCCAAGCCCTCACGCTTCTTCTACCTTGCAGAAAACAGAGGCTAGCTCTTCCACCCTTTTCCACCGTCGCGGAAGACATAGAATCTTTCCCCTTCTTCTAGCAGCAAAGGCCAAATGACACAATCATTCCAACAGCCACTCTTAATCATAAGGTACAATATTTTTATTTTTTTTACAATGTTAGGGATTTTGCCTCTTTCTTCGATTTTCAGAGAACCCTCATCTTCAATTTGACATTCATATAACCCACTTCAGTTTAATGATCCTCACCATAGTTTATTTAATTCAAATACATGTTGTAGGGTTTCAAAATTGCAAAAGGCCTAACAATCGAAGGGGTAAATTACAAATCTGGAGTCGGCTTGTGGTCTGAATCGCTGTGGAAAATACAGGTTTGAGATATAACGAGTTTAACTTGTTATGTGCTTGTTAAAAAACTCATTATGTGCTTGTTACACTGTGAAATCACTTTGACAGAATTTGAATTCTGGGTTCTATTTCTATTTTGTTTGTTGTATTGTGTTTAATTTAGGAAAAAAGTCACATTTATAGAAGAGATTCTTTGTTGCTTATGGCTAATGTTAGTAAATGTACAAATTCAAGTTTGCAAATATGACATTTTAACATTTCATTTTTTTTCTAATATGAATCTCTCTATATTTGGTCGGAAGTTATGATTGATTCTGAAAATTTTCAGTGGATGTATAAAGCTCCATGTGCAATGTTTTCTTAAAGCCTTTTATTTGTTTAATTTTCTTCTTCTTCAGCTGGAGGATGCACTGGCCCTACTGGGTTATTAACTCTCTTGTATAATTTGGTATATGCTTGCTTGTTTGCTTGATTGGTTTTCTAGCTTGGATTGTTTGGGGTAGTAAAATAAATTCGGGTTTAAATTCATGGTAAATAATTCTAGACATTTATTTTTTGTTTTAAAGTATGTTTATTATTTATTTATATATATATATTATATTAACATATGAAATCTAAATAGCATCCCAGACTTCAAAATCAGTTTTCAACTGTTGTGGGTTGGTTTATTGTTCTTGACCGAAGATGTCGACACCCATATATAAGCTAAACCTTCAACTTTCTGCTGCTCTTGGCCACTCAAAATGAATGCCAAGCAAGCATGGATATCTACAACACTTACTTTTAATCCTCTCTTCTCTATCTGGCCTTTTTTCTTTTGCTGGTGTTAGAAGTCTAATTTTGTAGTAGTAGATGAAACTTTTGCAGATATATCGGCCTTTTTCTAAATATAGTGATAGGATTGTCAGCATCTTTGAAATGTTAATTTCAGTAGTAGAGAGAAATTTGAATTGATAAATCATTAATGCGTTCACTGACTGTTAATGAGTTTAGAATAATACATGAACAAGTTATTATGTTGTTAAGATACCTATATTATTATCATTTTGTTTGGAGCTTTGATTTATTTAGTATCCCAAACATTTGATCAAGTTTTGAGTGGTTAGGTCATTGTATTGTATTAGTATAGTAGAAGTCAATTAAGATGAGCCTATTACTTTGTTGTTTAATTGGTTCTGTAAACGTCTATCAGCCCATAACTTTTTCTTTCATACATCTAAGCCTTCAACCAAACATCTATTAAAAATCTCTGCTAGTACAATATATCTGTTTTGAGTATAATTAATTCATAAACTTTTGAATTGACAATTTTCAATTTTATAATATGTCAAAATCACAGATACAAAATAAAATAAAATACAGCTTTATTTTGAACATAAACTTCCACTCAGAAAAAAAGGTAGTCAAAATTCTGTGCAAACTTTCAGAATTCATGTGTCTTCAATGCATTGTAGCAAAAATGGATCTATTTGTTGTTTCATGTTATAGTAAGAAGGTCTATATATGTGTGTGTGTGTGTGTGTATAAAAGCATGATTATAATTACTCATGAAATGGTTGTAATAAAAATTCCTTCAGATGAGGCTTGAGATATTGCTTTAATAAAAGTCACTAATTGAAAGCAGTTTCTGAATTCTTGACTTTAAAATCAGTTTTAGTTGGCCAATTGCCTAAAAACTAGAACCCACACACTGTCTTATATGTTGAGTATACATTACATGGTACCTTGTTAATCAATTGTCAAAGTTAGCATCCATAAGAATGGATTAAAATTAGAAATTAATAAACTTTCAACAATTTCAAAATTGAATCAGAAAAATAATCTTTCAGACCAAACATATCATTTTTTGTTTCGAGTGAGACAAGAATAGGCCATTTGGGCTTTAAAAACTAAATAAATAAATAGGCCATTAGGGCCCATCTTGTATTTTCCCATTGTCTTCTTGGTAAACAAACAACCTTGATGGAGGTTAATACTTAAAATTGATCACTTTGTTGTCCAGTAAGGCCCAACATTACCTTTCAAACACAATCTAAGTGCTAGGAGACAATCCAAGGTCCTTTCTAATCACAAACACCCAACAAATTAAAAAACCTTCCCATTGCTCCTTTATTTTCCTTTCTCTTGTTGGTATGAAAAAAAATGATTATGAGTTAATTCCCTAGATTGATTATCTTTTCAATGCCACATGAAACATTGTAACAACTAAATAAATCAATTCCCAAATTCTTTTTTTACTCCATCAAAAAAGGTGCAATAATATAATTTAAAATTAAAGATGACAATATACTTCAAGGTTTGATTAAAAACAGATATTAGAGTGCTCATGAAGTCCATAATTTATTCTTGTTTTGTATTACCTAAAACACACCAAATTAAAAACCAGTCAATCCAACACACCATCATCAGCTAAACATTGAATCATCTGTTGTTATTCATGCTATCTCTCAAATGGGTACTAGGATTTGAAAAAAAAAAAACACACACACACACATATTTTCACTCTCCGTTCTCATTATTATAAAATCACACAAATAGAAGCATTTGGTAGCTGCAAATATAGTTTGTGAACATCAAGTGTTTGTTGCTTTTATACACACATACACACGCACACGATATTTGGACGGAGAACGAGTCTAGCATCTCTGCAATTCAAATAAGCAGTGTAAAGCATAGCTGGGGAACAGATGGTACCTGTTTTACGCCGTTGGCGGGCCCAGCTTAAGACATGAACTTTTAAATTCCATGAGTGCAGAATGAGCTGAAATGATGGCAGCTTTCAGAATACTAAACAGTGCAAGGAAATATAATGCTATATATATATATATATATTCTGCAAATTTCAAGCACAAGGAACCAAATTGTTCAGGACCTGTATTTTTTTTCTTTTTCTTTTTCAGATCTTCCATTTTGTGGGTGAAGTAGTTGTTTTCTAGTGGGTAGAAATCATAAACAATATATATATATAGTAAGTTGTTTTCTAGTGTGAACCCCTTTACTTTTCCATCTTTCATTAATGAAGGTGACATTATATAGTAAGTTGCCGATCATTTTTTTATAAAAAAAAATAATAAGAAATGTATTTCTCTTGTAATTATGTTTATAGAATTTCTGTAAGGTTAAAGGTTGTCAGTGCTTCTGAATCTCAGTTGTTGACAATTATTAGGGAAAAATTATATATATATATTGTAGGGTTCAATTATATATATTTAGTTTTTTGTTTATAATTGATATATATTATTTTTTTTTTATATGTTTAGGCAGTTACATGGATAAGTCTTGGATTCATCATCACACTAGGGGTAGTGTAAAGTATTTTGATGGCATACAAGATTTCATTGATTTGGCTAGGCGTCATGCAGAAGTAGACGGTAGGTCCCGATGTCCATGTCGTCGTTGCAAAAATAAGACTTATCGACAAATTGAAGAAGTTAAGCAGCATCTCTTGAGTTATGGGATGGACAAGGGGTATACCAATTGGATATATCATGGGGAGGATCGTCAAAGCAACAATAATGTTAATATTGATGCTAATGTTAGTGGGGAAAATATCCACGATGAAGATGGAAATGTAGATAATGTGTTTGAATTGTTGGATAACATACAAATGGGAAACTTCACTAATGCACAACAACAAGAAGATTCCCCTGAAGTTGATGTTGGGAGAGGAAGCTTTGATAGATTGTTAAATAATGCACAATGTGAATTATGGCCAGCTTGTAAAAAATATTCTAAATTGTCAGCGACATTAAAGTTGTTCCATGTGAAGGTTACAAGCCGAATGAGCAACAAATCATTTGACATTATGCTTGATGCATTTAAGGATATGCTTCCTGACGACAATGTGTTACCAAAGTCTCATTACGAGACTAAAAGCTTGTTACGAGACTTGGGTCTCGGATATGATTGTATACATGCATGTAAACATGATTGTGTTCTATTTTGGAAGGAGAATGTAGGTAAAGAAAATTGTCCACAGTGTGGTGAACCGAGGTATAAACCTCACGAAGGTAAGGGTAAGAAAATCCCTTAAAAGGTTCTCTGGCACTTCCCTTTGAAATCAAGACTTCAACGGTTGTTTATGTCAAAGGATACAGCCTTAAACATGCGGTGGCATAAAGAAAAACGTGTGAAGGAGACAAATGAGTTAAGACATCCAGCTGACTCAAAAGCTTGGGAGGATTTTGATAGTAAGCATAGTTGGTTTGCTGCTGATCCTCGTAATGTTCGTGTTGGATTACCAACTGATGGATTCAATTCATTTGGTAACATGAGCAATGCGTATAGTATGTGGCCTGTGATGATTGTGCCTTACAATTTGCCACCTTGGATCTGTATGAAGGAGCCATATGTATTTATGTCGTTGCTTATTCCTGGTCCAACATCGCCTGGTAATGATATTGATGTGTACATGCAACCTTTGGTTGAAGAGTTAAAAGAATTGTGGCGGGATGGTGTGATGACGTATGACGCCTACAGTAAATGTAACTTTAAAATGCATGCGGCAATGATTTGGACCACTAGTGATTTTCCCGCTTATGCGATGGTATCTGGATGGATGATAAAGGGTTATCTAGCATGTCCAAATTGTAACAAAGAAACATGTTCTTGTTATTTGGAACACGGACGTAAGATATGTTACTTGGGAAGTCGTATGTTTTTATCGTTAGATCACATTTTCAGAAAACATCACAAGCAATTTAATGGCAAAAGTGAAGACAAAGGGCCACCAAAGCAGTTGACGGGTGATGATATTCTGGAACAACTTAACCTTATACCCGAGGTTAGTTTTGGAAAGGGACCAAATAAAAAGAAGCGAAAGCGTGAGGAATTTGAACTTAACTGGATGAAGAAGAGTATTTTTTTTGAACTACCTTATTGGCAGACCCTTTTGTTGCGGCACAACCTGGATGTTATGCATATAGAGAAAAATATATGCGATAGTGTGTTGGGGACATTATTGGACAATGAAGGGAAAACTAAGGACACGTTCAAAAGTTGGTTGGATTTAGAAGCAATAGGGATTAGAAAAGTCGGTTCAAAAGTCGGTTGGATTTAGTACCAAGCATCGTGGATGGAGTTGTAGAAGCGGACTTAGACATGGATCCACTCCCTTTGAACAGGGACGATTTGGAGGGTGAAACTGTTGATGCTGAAATGATTCAAAAATGTAGGGGTGAAGCAGCCATTAATGACGACTTTTGGGATGTTGAGAATGATGATGGAAATGACATTCAATATAGTTCAGATGAGGAACTAGAATTAATGTCTGAAGATGATACTGATTTGGATGACATGTGAAGCTTTGTATTCTTGAGCATGTATCTCATTTTATGGTTTTATGAATTATATTACCGAGCTTTATCTTTTGAGTTACTTTTTGTTTAAATTTCTCTTTTATTGATTATGTGCTTCATTAATTTGCATCTTTGATTTGGTCGACCAAATTAATCCGTATATTTGAGTATTTACTTATTTTTTTGGTTTTATGATTAATATTTAATGTATCTATTCAGTTATATTACTAGTCTTTATTTATTGACTTCCTTCAGGTTTATTAGCCTCTAATTATTGAATTTTTTATTCAATGCAATTATATAAATATAAAATGATGACTCTAAATATATTCTGTATATGCCTGTTTATTTTAATTTAATTTCACTTGATTCTTCATATCAGCTTGTAAACTAAATTATGGACACCTCCGAGGAACCAATGTGTAGAGTTTTAAGGTCCCGCAGGGCTGAAACTGAGCGACCGTCTACAAGTTCACCTCCTATACAATTGAGTGGATCAGGTGATGATAGGAATTCAACAAATGAAAGAATAGAAGGTGATGGTAGTAATGAGCAGATGGGGCCACAACCAAGAGGAGGTAATTATGCTTCATTATTAATTAACCATAAGCTCTTTTGTAAAAGGCCTACGTTTTAATTAAGATGATGAATTTGTTTTTCAGGTCCGATACGAAAAGGGCGTGGAAGAGCAAAAAATAAAGCCTTGCACAAAATTAAAGAAAACAGCTGTCCGGTTCCAGTAGAGTTTGGAGAGGGTTCTATTAAACCTGTTGGTTTAAATAACAAATTATGGATAGCTGAGGTTGGCATTAATACACGAGATACTGAAGCCCTTTTAAAGTATAAAACGTGGAGGGATGTTCCAGATTTTGAGAAAGAGGTCTGCTATGAGTATTTGAAGGTAATGATAACCATCATTTAATGTTTGTTTTGTTAAAAATAAATCAGAGGTTGCTGGTCTAATTGGTTACAAATTGTAGCTTACATTAATTTTACATTATAAATGAGGTCTTTGGAGTTGATGCATATGCGAATGACATTGATTTTAAGCGAGTAAACAAGGGAATTTCCAACGCATTGAGGAAATATAGATATAAATTGACGTGTCATTTTGAGGAGCATCTTCCTATTGAGAATGCACGCCGCCATCCTTACAATGGTATTGGTAATGCTGTTTGGCAAAAGTTGTGTGATAATTGGATATCACCAAAATTTCAGGTTCAATTTCTTAACTACTTGTTTTTTATTATTTAATATAATAACTTTATTCACTAGCTATTTGGGTTTCCTAACTTGTAATATTGTTTGAATTACTACCTAGGAAATAAGTGAAAAAAACAAAGAAAATCATTCCAAGAATGAGGTTCCACATTATTCTAGATCGATGTCCTTCGTTAGACGTTACGATGCTTATGTATGTAATATATGAAACAATAATTATAAATTTTTTATTTTATATTTTACATTCTAAACCATATATTTGTCTAATGGTCACTACTACTTTGTATTGTAGGTCAAACTCAAAGAAAGGCAGAGCCAAGAAGATGAAGATGGTGAAAGGGATGAGAATCCTGCCATTCGCTTGTACAAGGACACACATTTTAAGGAACAAGGTGGATGGGCACACGAGAAAGCTAAGAGGAATTTTGTAAGTTAACAATAAGCTAGCATGTTGGATTATGAAATTTGGATCTCATAATATTTTTGCGGTTAATAGGGGGTCACATGCCTTTAAGTGACCATTTTTGCGGTTTATAGGAGGGTCACATGCCTTTAAGTGACCATTCTTGATTTTCTGTGCACAAATGGAGGTGGGGAATTGTTGCGGGTGAAGTGTGGTTTTCATTCAATGTATTTCATGTTTAAAAAATAAAAAAAAGTATAATGGGAATAATTTGTTAAAATGTTGGGGCCATGTGACAAAGAGGGTTCACATTGAGAGAAGTTAAAAGTTGTGTTAATGTGATGGGGAGATCATAAAAGAGAGCCCTTTATTTCTAGATTACAACTGTGCTTGAAGGACTTTCTTAAGGTCACACCCACATGGTCAGTAGTTGTGTTTAATAGGAAATGGTAATTTTGTTGTGATTACTTGCCTTAAAGACAAGTTATTATTGCTTCCGGAAGTTAAAAATTGTGTAGGTATGTTGCTGAAATTTACATCTAAATGAATCTTTCAAGGAAAAAAATATTATTAGAAATTTGAAATACAAATTCATTGAAGCAATATAATTAACTTAGCAAGTGAAATAACCTTCGTTTTCTTAAATCAATTTGGTTGACTACGGAAACAGTTAAGGAGAAACTCATCCATTATACTGAAACAGTTGAAATATATTGAAATGATCTGAAATATTTCGTCCAATAACCATTTTTCTTTTCAAAATAAGATGAGAGTGAAGTATCAAAACCTAAAATTGCAAGTCTCTTCGTGTATATATTATATAGTATGTTTCATAGTCTCTATCATTTTATGATGCTTGAAAATTGTACTTGTTTTTTACTAGTAAATTCTTGTTCTTCATTATGTTGATATTTAGGTCATATTTTGTAGTATTTATTCATGTGTCTTCGTATAGATGAGATGGATTTGTAGGCTTCAAGCATATTCAATCAACCTAAAACACACAGTCACACACACATTTTTTAGTACATTATTAAATCTTTGGAAGTATCTCGTAAACGTAGCTGAAAATGAATTTGTGTTATTATATGAGGCTATTAACACGTGGAAATTTCATTAGTTCCTAGAATATATTTTTTTTCTTCCCTTATTTGGCTGTTAATAACACTGGCTTACATGTTCTAGCAACCTTTTATTCCTATGGTTTGCATTGATTAATGTACGGAGTGATACCAATGCATATGACCCAGGCCGGGATGTGGTTCATAAAGGCATAACCCCCTAGTTATGTAACCCTTTAAACTGAGCATTTTATCCATATTCAAATGAGCCTAAATTATTTTATGTGATAATTATCTACTTCTGTAAATATAAATTGATATCTTTGTTTAGCTTACCTATCATAAAATGAAAAAAATAATAAATTAGTCAGTGAAGTTTTCCTTCTAAAGCAGTCTAGATATAACTTAAGAAAATGATGACCAAATAATATGAAATTTGAAATATGAAATATAGTCCAGTAAGAAAAAAGATGTGTATGTGCATCGGCATTTGTAACATTATCAAGTCCTTGTGAATTTATATTTTTGACTACGGAAATGTGGACTTGATAAATGCACATGTTGTAGCAGGGAGGTATTTTTTTAAGTCACCTGTCTACATAATTAAATTAACGTAATGATCCTTTTTAGAGTTATGAATCAATCATGTTATAGCATTGAACTTGCGCGCGCGCGCGCACACACACACACACACACACATATATATATATATATTGTAAATAACTTTCATATGCAATCTAAGTAGATGGATTAAAGCTAAGTATTCAGAATTTAAACCAATCAAGAGTCATAGTGATGCTAATCTGTGGTGCTTATGTGAGAGTCACAGTGATTGCACACTCTTGAAGTCATACAACTGATAGTGATAGGGTAAACATGCTCTAAATCAAACGAGAAGATTCATGTTGCTCTTGAGAATATGCTATTAAGAATCTTGCTTCCATAAGAGTTGACTTTGACAAAACAGAAATTATAATTTGTTCTCTAAATTCATAATTAGGACTTTTAATTTCTCCACACCAGTTTAGATAAAGAAAGAAAATGACATGAGAACTTCTTCCTTTCATTTGTAGTTGAGAATATAGTTTGTCATTACAGTGTACTCATCCTTCCATTATGTGTATAAGCATATTTTTTTTCTCTCTATTGAGATTAATATTCTACCTTGGACATGATTTATTCCTATGCCATATTCTTTCAATTTGATAGCAAACTTAAATATTTTACAGGATGCAATGAAAGAAAAGGCTGCACAAAATTCTCAAAATTCTGATGGTACGAGTCCAACCATAAATGATGTTGAGATAGTGCAAAACCAACTAGGCATAAGGAAGGGATATTGCCGTGGATTCGGACATGGTTTCATGGCTCCAAAGAGTCAACGTGCCTCCTCATCATGTGACGAGGCTTCTAGGAAAAGGGTCGAAATTGCTGAGGAAAGAAATGTACAAATGGCGGCAAAGATGGATAAACTTGAGAAGATGCTTGAGCAGTTACAGCAACAGCCGCCACCATGGTTCCTCCAATATCAGCAGCAGCGGCAGCAAACTGCACCAAACTGGCATCAACAGCCTTCGCCACCTCCAGTAGACTCTCATTTTTAGCAACTACCACCCACAAGGTGGCAATATTAGCAGCCGCCACCAACATGGTAGCACCAACAAGCACCACCACAACCACCAATAGAATGAATAATGGATCTTGAAGGGGATGGAACATTTTTTTGTGCTACCAGATGGTTTTAGTTTTTGTTTAGAAACTGGTTAGCAGTTTTTGTTTTTGTTTAGAAAACTAGAAATTTTATGGATCTTGAATATGTATTGTGGATTTATTTTGTTTGATGGCTAGTAATATCTTTTTGAATGTTATTATGGATCTATTTTGTTTATGTTTTGCATGTATTCAGAATGGTTAAACCCACAAATCAAGCATCCACAAAAAAAAAAAAAAAAAAAAAAAAAAAGTATTAGGGACGGTCTACCCGTCCCTAATACAATAATTATAATTAAAAAAACATGTATTAGGGACAGTCCATCCATCCTTAATACAATAATTATAATTAAAAATAATGTATTAGGGACGGTCCGTCCGTCCCTAATGCTATATGTATTGGGGACAGTCCTCGAAACTGTCCCTAATTCGTATCTTATTAGGGACAGTCTATACCGTCCCTAATAAGTTTCAGGGACGGTGTTATTAGGGACAGTCCATACCGTCCCTAAAAGTCAAAGTATTTGTCACGGTCAAACTTGACTGTCCCTAAAGCTCTTTTGTCACGCTACTTTTAGTCACGGACCAATTTGACTTTTAGGGACAGATTTCGAGCTTTCAGGGACAGTTTTGACTGTCCCTAAAACCCTAATTTCTTGTAGTGCGAGACGACACTAAGTGACAAGAAACTGAACCCAAAAAGGAAAAGATCACCGGAAAAAAAATATCTATGAAAATCTAAGAAAAGGAAAGGAAGGAAAATGACCGGGTCATTACAGGTGCAGCGTATTTGAGGTTCCGTGTTAGTAGTGTTTGATGGTTCGTTGGAGGTGAGGTCGCCTAGATTTTTGTGCGTAGTCCCGTATGTGTTTCCAGTTGGTTCTCCTCCTTGTGTGTAAGGAGTTCATTTCATCTCAAGTGAGATTGGGTGTCTATGGTTAGACGATTGGTGAGTAGTGTGTGACAGGGTGTCGAGGGCATTCAGGTGTGAGTTGTCAGTCTCTTGTAAGAGTAGGGTTCGTTAGCCTCTCCATTTGTTCTAATCCTGGAAAAGGGTGTCATTTGTCGTAGGTCTTGTTCTCTATTTAGGAGTTGTGTGCATCCGTGGTTGGACAAACCTGTGTGTGTGGTTTGTTGCATTATTAGAGTTGATCGATAGAGGTCCTAGTTGAATGGGTTGACTCACTTCCATGGAGGGAAGTGGAGTCTTGGGTCTTTGTAGTGCTTGTTCTGAGAATGATTTTGACTGGTAAAATGCGAGGCACGGGTAACCGAATAGGGGTTGTGTTTTCGATGTTTGGTACTAGCAGCGATGGCTAGGGGTGTGTCATGAATTATAAGCTTAAGGATATTTAGGTGATGTGATGTGAGTCATGTACTCGAATGTTTTTATTGATGTTTGATTTGAGTAGTGTCTTGAGGACAAGTGTTAGTGTTGTTTGAACGTTATGCAACTAAAGAGTGAATGTGGGATTTCATTGAAGAATAATGGGAATGGTTGACTTTGGTTTTGAGGTTTCAGACATGAGATGGTCGTATTATGTTTTTTGATGAGGTCAAAATTGAATCGAATGATGTTATAGAGTTGTTTACCTGGTATGGGTATGATGAGAATATTAGAAAGCTTTGATGTTGATTGATGATTGAGACATTTGGTGCTTTGTCGTTTTTGTTTATTATGGTTATGTGATTGAGATATGATTGGGATTCTGAGAATAGGTATATGACTGTATAGTTGTTGAGGTTACGTAGAGTGATGGATTGATAGTGAGTGGATCTCATTGTTGTTTTGTGGACTGTGTGAGATTATATTTGAGGTGTGGACCTGAGGACAAGAACAACGTCTGTGCTAAGACCGGATCGAGGATGAGGATGGCCTGGCCAACCATTTCTCCTGAATCAATCCCTCTTTAGCACGATGTCGGGTCAAAGGTCAATAATTGTTTTAAGTTGACACGAATAGTGAGAGTATGGTATTGGGCATGTGTCAGTGTGGTGGAGTGAATTCAGGTGGTTTGTCTCGGGTGACGAGTTATGTTAGGTGGGACCAAGTGTCCAATCCGTTTGATTATTAAAGATCTTGTTTTAAGGATTTGTGCCCTGGGTACAAGATAGTGCGCTTTACTGATTTGGTGATTAATGTTTATGCAGTCATTGGGTAACTCATTGTTTAATCATCATGAAGTTGTTAAATGTAATGATTGTCATATAGTGTGATTAGTAGTCATTGGTACGGTTATGTGGTGGTGTAGCTGCATACTAGATAGCAAGTGTTTGGTCTGTCAGGGATGTGTAGATTAGAGTTGAGATTGATTGAGAGATTGACAGGATTCCTTATTTGGGGTTTAGTGTGTCCTTTGAAGGATGTGTTGAGGTTAGAAGTTGTCTTTTTCGGTGGTCTAGTGACTGTTCTTTTCTCGGGCTTTGGAGCCTTTTGTGACTGTGTGGAGTAGACTGATGTCTATTTTAAGTCAGACGTAAGGTCTAGTTAGTCTATGTTATGATGAAGGGAGAGATAGGTAACCGCATTGGGTTTTGGTGGCAGTGGTGTGTGATTGTCTGGTGACGTCCGATATTAAAGGCAATGATGTCAGTGAGTTCATAGTCTCAGAATTTTGTGAGGTATTCTTGGAAAGTGTGTGGCTGTGGGCCTTCTCCATAAGGAGGGTAGATTTCGAAGATAAAATCTCTTTATTGAGGGTAGATTGTAATGTTTCCAATTTTTATCATTTTTCAATTTCTGGAATTTTTCTTTTTTGTAAGGGCATTTTCGTCTTTTCTTATTTTGCGTACCGGACACCGTGGAGTGTGCCAGTTATGTCTGAGAGTTGGCTGGGGTGTTCCATTAAGTTTAGGACTCTTTAAAATGCAAGGTTTGTCATTTTTACATTTTTTCGTTTTTCGGGCCGGACAGTCTCAGGTGGGACCTGTTATCAGAATCGTTGCATACGGGGATTTTAGTTGGATCCGTTTGCATCTCATGCATTTTATTTTATGTGTTTTATGTGGTATTTATATGGTTAAGTGTGTGTGTATATATATATATATATATATATATATTTATGGTGTAAAAGAAAATTCAAAAATAAAAAAATAGAATTTTAAAATTTTGTGGTGGACCCACTTTCCACTAATTAAATAAGTGGCCCAGACGCCAATTCTTGGTCCCTCTTTCTCTCTCCTCGTAAGTTCTCTCTCTCCCCCATTCTTCTTCTCTTTTTCTTTTTCTTTTGCAAGAAACTTCAACCTTTGATTTCTTTCTCAATTGTTGGAATTTTTTGGTGCCGTTTGCGGCAAAACAGAGAGCACGGCAAGATCTACTCATCGATGTAAGCAATTCATCATTTGGTGCACTCTAGGATTTTCAAAAATTTGGACCCATTTAAGGATTTTTCTAAAAAATTGAGGTAGGGGTTCCTTAATGTCTTGAGTTTTGACTTTCAATTGAGCAAGTTTCTACCTCTTTCAATATATGTTGAGAACTTATGAATTATAACATGAAAATTGTTGATTTGTGAATATCTATATATGTGAAACATGAGTTGTTTCAATCCTATGTTAATGGCTTGTTTAATCTTGCTATATGTGGATTCTTGAACATGTTTGATTTAAGAAAAAAATAAGTTTTCATTGTGCTAAATTTTAAAGATATGCTATGGAATTTAAATTGCTCTTGTAAGATGGTTGATATTGGGAGTGACACTAATATGATGAGCTTGTGATTTGAGGCTGAAAATTTTTATATTGCATATCATGGCATAAAATGAGATTTGGGCATGATTTGGGAAAGATTTGAAAGAAAAGTTTGTTTTAGAAAGTAAAGTTTCTTTTAAAGAAGGGAAGTTTTTTTTAAAATGAACCGGATTTCGCGAGTCCGAGGCTAACTTGACCTAGAGGGAGTGCAGCCCGATGTAGGGCGTGAAAAAGTTGATACTAGGCCCTTTAACGGTTATCGGATTTGGAACTGGGGATAGCTATCAATCTCGCCTCAGTAAAGTCGGTTAGCGGATTTTCGAAAAATGAAAGTTGGGTCGATATAGACCAAATTTTGGATGGGTGCATCACATTTCATATCATGCACATCATTTTGTAGAATTGTGTTATGTGTTAAGATTATTGCCAATTAAGTTGTAAATGTTGTAAAGACTCCCATTGCATGACCCCGGTTTCTTTTCTACCCTTTTGTATGTTATGTGGTTCAAGGGAGTTCAAAATTGACACCTTAGGCGACTTCTACTGAGCCTTGTACTCACCCCTTATTTTAAACATTTTTTAGGACACGGAAAAGAAGTGACGGATGACGTTCCACCACAGACCTAGTTTGGATTAGAAGACCAGTTTGCTATTTTTGTACCTAAGTCCCATTATTTTTGTAAAACCTTAGTTTGTTATATTCAATATAAAGACTTATGAACTCTTGTTATTGTAATTTTGTTTCATGAACTATAAGTTGATGTAATTGGAGTACAAGTCTAGTATGTAAGCATGGGACTATGTATAAGGCAGGTATTTTTATGTTTTTGATGAATAGAATGATGATGATGAACTCTTTTAAGGATGGTGTTGATGTTGTAGATTTTAGATTAAGGTTTATTATTTACATTGTGTGTTGGAGTATGTTAGTTCAGTTTTGAAGGCCCAAGTGAGGCCATTGCTTTTCATATACATTAAGCAAGTTGTAGAAGGACTCTTTTTTGTAGAGGTCATGCTGAATTTTTGGGTCGTTACAAAAATGACCTCCAAGAAGTGTTGGAGACCACATGCATGTGTTTCACATTTCCAATGGGCAAAAAGAATCAAGAAAACAATTGTGATTCAAAAATAACGTTACATGAAAACTAAAACACTGAAATTCACAAATGTTATTCAAAGATAACTTTACATGAAAACTAGGGATGGAATTGTTATAATTAGAACAAGAAGAAATATTTTATTTCATTGCAAAGCACAATAGTACATGTATGTGCTACATTGACTTGCAATTTGCATAATTACTAAAATCATTTCAGGTAACATGCCAGTACAAATTCTAATATTTCAATATAAGATTAAATTACTGCTTCAAGGTTTAAAAGAGGGAGGCTTCCTGATCTTAGTAGCCTTCTCGAAGCCATAAGCAATCTCAATCAATTTAGGCTCTGAACCTTTCAAACCTCCAAAAGTAATA